TCTCCTCAGGTCCTGTCGGGGTGCGGCGTCTACGACGGGACCGAGCTCCACGAGGCCTCCGCGTAAGCCTGCGGCCCCTGGGGAAGGGCCACTCCTTAGGAAAGTGCGCGTTTTAAAGCCCTTGTGTTCCGATCAAAAGGACATGCCCCTTCAAAGGAAACCACGTACCGCCCGGCGTCCATCAGGTCACCGTGCAGACACCGACACGGTGTCCCCATAGGACAGGGTAGAACTGCCCCGTGGGTTTCTGAGACTCGCTCTCTACGGCAGTGCAACGCCCCCGTCCTTCTCCCGAAGTAACCTGTGCACGGCGCAAATCCCGAGGGGGGTGTGGTGGCACCCAGACTGGTCGTTCCAGCTTACCCCTGTGCCCCAGGAGAGGGCCCCAGCCTTGAAGCCCGTAGAACACAGTTCTCTGTGGCCAGCTGCCAGTTAGGATTGGCTTGGTGGCAACTAATGCCACCAGCGTTTGTCACCAGAGATGGCCACTGAGTGTGGGCCGCCAGGTGTGTCTCAGCCCTTGTACGTGTTTCACCAACGCAGTGGTACTGCACTGGCACTACGTGTGCCCTTGGACATATTTTCTTGGCTATAGTAAACTGGGCCGTCCCCATGCCATTAAATACTGGCAACAGGGATTTTTTTAAAATCATTTTATTGGGGGTTCATACAACTCATCACAATCCATACATCCATCCATTGTGTCAAGCACATTTGTACATTTGTTGCCCTCATCATTCTCAAAACATTTGCTCTCCACTGAAACCCTTGGTTTCAGCTCCTCTTTTTTCCCCCTCCCTCCCTGCCTCCCCCTCCCTCATGAGCCCTTGATAATTTATACATTATTATTATTTAGGGATTGTTTTAAAGGTTGCTTTGCACTCCAGGTTGTGGACTGCTCGATACGGACATAACTCCACAGCTCAGTAGTTTGGGCTTGACAATGATTTCTAAAAAGTGACTGCTTGACCAGTTGTCCCCATGGTCAGCTCCCCATGGTCCCTAGAGTAAACTGGAGAGTGGGGAGTTGGGTCCATTAGAGAATGCCCAGTGCACTTCCTGTTCCTCATCTTCCCTGAGCAGTCCGGACCTTAGAGTGAACTCCTGATGCCAGTTGGGGAGGACAGGAAAAGAGAGTAGGTATGTCAGGGCTTGACCCCTCCCAGGCAGCCCGGCAAGGAAAGGCTACCACAGTGCCCGGTTGTGCTTTGTAGTGGAGCCCGAGCACCCAGGCCACAGGCTGACCACCCAACTACTCTTTGGGACCTCAGCATTCCCTCCTTTCTGGAGGCTCAGCCTCCTCCTCCATGGCAGGCACCCATCTCCAGGTCTCGGGCAGTAAGTGGCTCCCCACTGCTATGGGGGACTGTGCTTGGCCCAGAACAAGCACCTAGCAAGTGCCAGCCATCATCACCCCAAGGGTCGCTGATGGTGCTGTGGCTTAGCCACGGGCCTGCTAGCCACAAGGGCAGCAGTTCAAACCCACCAGCTGCTCTGAAGGAGAAAGATGAAGCTGTCTGCCCGGGAAGAGTTCGCCCCAGAAGGCCACAGGGCCAGTTCTGCTCTGTCCTGTAGGCAGGGTCACTGTGGGTCGCAATCAACTCCGTGGCACCGGGTTGGGTTTTTTTTGAGGTCATCGCTAGTGATTTCCTGTGGCCTTGGGGAGAGGGGGTGCCCTCCTGGCCCGCTCATGCAGGTCTCCATGTCTCTCCCACCACACCCTGTAGAGAGTTTGGGACGACTGGGTATCAAGCCTTTAAGCTTGTCAGCTTCCATCACATTGGCCCCCAACTCCTGAAAATGCCGCTCACGGGAATGAAACATCACCTGATCCCGTGCCCGATTGGGTATGGTTTGGATGATTGTGACCCGCAGGCTTTCTCTTACTTACTTTTTGAGAACTAGATCTCCAGGCCTTTCTTCCTGCTCTCTCAATCTGGAAACCCCCCTGAAGCCTGTCCAGCATCAGAGCATTGCACAAACCTCAGGTGCTAGCAGCGCAGGCGTGGCATTGGCTGGGAATTACACAGGGTTTGCATGTGGGAAGGTGAGAATCCTTCCACTGAACCATGTTGACTGGTAGCCCGAGCTGCAGCCTCTGCCTCCTCACCCATGCAGTACCCGCCTGTGGAGGCCTGTGGGAGGCCAGAGTACCCTCCAGCTGTCATGGCACCAGCTTCATCACCCAGCCCTTGTGCTTGTGAAGGGGGCTTTGCTGACGTTTTTCCTTGGGCTCGTTAGAGAACATGTGGTTCTGTCCTCACCACGGGGGCAGCAAACGGTCCGCTGGGCATTTGGATTGCTGGCAAACCAACTATAGGCTTGTCTGGCACTTCGTGGAAAGCCTGTCTTTGCAGGTGGGGCCAGGCACATCTTACACTTGCTCTCTGATCCCCATGTAGGATTCTGGTGCACCTGAGCCGTGGGGGCGCAGATGTTCAGATCTTTGCCCCGGACGTTCCGCAGATGCACGTGATTGATCACACCAAGGGGCAGCCTTCTGAGACGGAGACCAGGTGAGTGGGCAGGATGAAGAAGCAGTGTGCAGCAGAGCGTGGCTTGTCTCTGGACAGATCTGGGCATGCTGTGGTGCCTCAGAGAAGTTGCCAGGGGCAGCGCCAGGCTTCTGCCATCTTCTGGCATGTTCGTGGTTGATGAGAGGCGGGTGAGCAGCGCCAGGCTTCTGCCATCTTCTGGCATGTTCGTGGTTGATGAGAGGCGGGTGAGCTTGTTGCCCACTTGCCTCCTGGAATGCAGCCATCCGCCCCGCCTGTGCTGCCCGGCCTGGCTGCCCAGGACCCTCCACCAGTGTCAGCTCCGTGGGCCTTTAGCGTCTGCCACTGAGGCGGTGCAGTCCGCCCTGGCTCCCTGAGAGCCTGCCCCGCCCAGTGCTGCCCAGTGCTGCGGGCTCTGAGTCCCAGGGACCCAGTCGGTGTCTTCAGCCTGGGGTATGGGTGGACAAAGGAGGAAACAAACTGTCTCTTCCACAATCCCCGTTATGTAGGCCCACCCCCTCCCACTTAGAAGTCAAGTGTGCCTGCTCTGCCCCAGAAGTCTGGCTGGGGGCAGCTTTCTGCGATGGCTGATCCTTGAGTGGCCGGAATCGAGTGGTCGCATGTTAGCCTTCCCCTTGCCTGTGTAGCTGTTTCCCCGCCCGCACCCACCTGCTCTGACCACTGGGAGCATTGATGCTGGCGGCTCGGACTCATTTGCTGTAGGTCCCGAACTGCAGCTCTGAGAGGATTCTGGGAGATATCTGAGCTGAACGTCCACACTACAGCAAGCGCACCACCAGTCTTGGCAGTGACCATGAGCACTGCTTGAGAAGCACAAGTCCCTGTGGGGGTCAGCCTGCCCCTCACCCCGCAAGCCGAGGTCTCAGTGTATAAGGTGTGTCCTTGCCTTTCGGTGGGGACAAGAGCTCTCACTCCCCTGCCCCGCTCCCCCAGCTTATGCTTGTTCCCTGAACCCTCCCTCCGGTTACACCACTGTGTGCTGCTCCCAGGAACGTGCTGACAGAATCGGCAAGGATTGCGCGTGGCAAGATTGCAGACCTGGCCAAGCTTCGAGCAGCTGACCATGACGCCGCCATCTTCCCCGGAGGTTTTGGAGCGGCCAAAAACTTGTGCGTATCTTGAGACTTGGGGTTCTCTGCAGTCGTTCCTCGGGTGAGATCGATGTGGAAACAGTGAGGGGGCTTTCATGTGCCCCTGCCACTCAGGAGGGGACTGTGCTAGGTTTGGGGCCTTGCCTGCATTTTCACTGGGCCTGGAGCTTCCTCCCTTCCTCCTGAGGCTCTACGGTCGGCTGATGATGGATGGTTGGGTCCTGGGGTGGTCCCCGCGCACGTCACAGCCACCTCCAGTGTCCCTGGACAACACGGTTCCTGTCCCTGTGGCTGCGTCTCCGTGACGGTCTTCTCCAGAAGGAGCGAGCAAAGTCCTTCCTCCTCTCTGGTCTGCTCTCGGGGCTCCTTGGGGCCTGAGCTTGGGAGGCAGCAGCTCCTCCCGCAGTGACGTTCTCTGCGTTTCAGACACCCTTTCTGGGCCTCGAGTTCTCATTTCTGGCCCATGGAAACAGTTCTGTGGCCTTGCTGTCCAGCTGCAGCCCAGCCTAAGGGAGCAGGGCCGCTCTCCCGTCACAGACTTGCCAGTGGGGTTCTGCCCTGTCTCTGGGAGCTTTAACCTCAGCTGCGAAATACGAGCCGAGGGAAAGTGATCATGTGGCCAAAGGCTGCAGCCTGTCTTGAGAGTGCGGCCCAATGTGGGAGAAGCAGCGGGCTCTGGGGCAGGGCCCAGACCAAATGTGCCACTGGGTTTAGATTGGACTTTGCTGCCCCAGGGCAGGCTGGGGGTAGGTGTTCCTGGGTGTGTGTTTGCTCCAGGGTCTCTGTTAATACAGGGCGAAAATCCAGCCCAGTGTGTTGCTGCAAGCACCGTGTGTTCAGCCGCCCCCTGTCAGGAGAGGTGTGCATGTGGCCGTGATGCTGTCAGACGTGCTTGGGAAAACCGTTTTCAGTGTTAAAGGGTTTGCAGTGCCATTGAGAAATGCTCAGTTGTTCAGTCAGGACAAGTTGTAAAGTTCCTTCAGGGTTGCTAATAAATGCTCGAAGGGCATGCCACTCTGCTGGAAGTCTAAGCCGGAAGGCACTCGGCTTAAGCTCCGTGGGTCAGGGACGGAGCTCCCAGAAGTACCAGTAAGTGCCCCAAAGGCACCCACTCCACCAGCACTCAGCTTTAATCCTTTAGTGGGCTGAGAGGTCCACCCCTCTGACGCTCGGCTCCCAGTGCTGCCGGTCCTCTGCCACTCCGATGCCGCAGCTGTCTTCCAAATCAAGGTAGTTCACAGCACAAGCATCTTCAGGCCCAGAGGACGTGCGCCACTCTTGAGTCTTGCTGGGAGTGAAATGTCCCTTCTTCTCACATTTTATACCCTGTGATGGCAGTCCCTTGACTCCTGTTAGCAGTCGCTCACAGGTGAATCCTCTGTGTCTTCCGCCACCTTCCTACTCAGACCATGTAGAAGAGGCACACTAAATAACTCACTGTCCCTGAAGGCGTCACTCAGAAGGAATTGGGTTGAGGACCCACCCTGCTCCAGTGTGATCTCATGAACAGGCCAAAGCCTGTTTCCAAACAGGGTCACCTCTGCAGGTACAGGAGTGATGACTGTCACCTAGCTTCTTAGGGGACACAGTTTAGTCCCCAGCATTATGCGTCATGTAACAGAGGCTTGGGCATTGTGCATGATTCTTGAACAGCTGCATACCAGGTGAGTGGGCAGGATGAAGAAGCAGTGTGCAGCAGAGCGTGGCTTGTCTCTGGACAGATCTCCTCAGGTCCTGTCGGGGTGCGGCGTCTACGACGGGACCGAGCTCCACGAGGCCTCCGCGTAAGCCTGCGGCCCCTGGGGAAGGGCCACTCC